GCTGGAGTGCAGTTACGTGATCACAGCTCACTGGTCTTGACCTCCCCTGATCAAAGCATCCTCCCACCTCAGCCTCCCCAGTAGATGGGACTATAGGTACATATCACCCCACCCGGCTATTTTTTTTAAGAGATCAGGTCTCAAGTATGTTGCACAGGCTGGTCTCAAATTCCTGGGTTTAAGGGATCCTCCCACCTCAGCTTCCTAAAATGCTGGGGTTACAGGTGTGAACCACAAAGCCAGACCACCAAAAATACTGACATATCAAGAAAACACAGGAGCCAATTTTAAGGAGCTCCTAATGACCAAAGCTGCGACAATTTGAGCAAAAAAGTAAATCCATACTGATATAACTAAATAAATACAGAGAAGGGACACCTTCTTACAAAGAGTTCTAATTAATACAGTATAGAAGGAATAATCATGAAGTAACATCTGGCAAATGCCACAGGAATACTTGTTGCAGGCAATAACAATCCATAGCTGCCCAAAGTTAGTGAGTCAATGAATGATGGTTTCAGCTAGGCACCTTTGGCTCACACCTGTTAATCCTAGCTCTTTGGGAGGCTGAGGCAGGACAGTTTGAGACCAGCCTGAAAAACATAGCAAGACCTCATTCTTATTTAAAAATAAAATAAGCCAAGCATGGAGGCACATGTCTGCAGTCCCAGATACCGGGGAGGATTGCTTGAGGCTGGGAGGTTGAGGCTGCAGTGAGTGATGATGATGCCACTGCACTCCAGACTGGGCAACAGAGCAAGATCGTCTCAAAAAAAAAAAGAAAAAAGTTTTCAAGTATATCCAATTCCGTAAGTTACACATTAAGTACAAAGGAGGAAATTAACAAGTCTACAGTGGAGAAATCTGGCAGCACTGTAACCAAGTGACCAACGTTAACATGACCAGTATAAAGTCATGTCACAATTATATATTCTGATAAAATTCACTAAAAAGTCACGGTGCTTTTGTGGCATTCTTGTCAAAGAATAACCTCAATCTAATAGTGAGGAATGATCACATAAATCCAACTGGAAGGGCCTTTTACAAAATAACTGGCCAGTAGCTAGGCGCAGTGACTCATGCTTGTAATCCCAGCACTTTAGGAGGCCAAGGAGGGTGGATCACCTGAGGTTGGGAGTTCGAAACCAGCCTGAACACGGAGAGACACCCCCCCCCATCGCTACTAAAATAATACAAAATTAGTTGGATGTGGTGGCACATGCCTGTAATCCCAACTACTTGGGAGACTGAGGCAGGAGAACTGCTTGAACTTGGGAAGTGGAGGTTGCGGTGAGCCAAGATCACGCCATTGCAATCCAGCCTGGACAATATCAAAACTGTCAAAAAAGTCTGGCCAGTACTCCAATAGTGTCAAAAAACGAAGATTGAAAAACTGTCACAGGCTAGAGGAGACTAAAGACAATTAAATGCAATGTAGGGGGCACAGTGGCTCATGCCTATAATCCCAGCACTTTGGGAGGCCGAGGTGGGCGGATCACCTGAGGTCCGGAGTTCAAGACCAGCCTGACCAACATAGAGAAACCCCCATTATCTACTAAAAATACAAAATGAGGTGGCGTATGCCTGTGATTCCAGTTGCTTGGGAGGCTGAGGCAAGAGAACTGCTTGAACCTGGGAGGCGGAGGTTGTGGTGAGCCAAATCATGCCATTGTACTCCAGCCTGGGCAACAAGAGCAAAAAACTCCATCTAAAAAAAAAACCAAAAAACGTAATATAGGATCCTGGATTGGATGTCAAACCTGAAGAAAAGATACAGTGTAAAAACTGGCATAGCTCAAGGTCTGTAGATTAGTTAATAGTAGTGCTAGTCTTGATAATTTTACCATGGTTATACAAGATGTTGACATTTGGAAAAAGCTGAGTTAAGGGTATGAGAACTCCATACTGTGTTTGCTAAGTCCAAAATTTCAGGAAGTTTAAAATAATGGAACACACTAAGAAAAGATAACCAAATCAAATACAGCTAAAATTAAATTGAGGGAAAGTGAAATTTATTCAGGACAGTCTTACTGTGTCACCATCTCAGCTCATTGTGATCTCTGCCTCCCGGCAATTCTCCTGCCTCAGCCTCCTTGGCAAATTCCTTGACAAATTTGCCAAGGATTTTGAGTAGCTGGGATTACAGGTGTGCACTATCACACCCGGCTAATTTTTGTATATTTAGTAAAGATGGGGGTTCACCAGGTTGGCCAAGTTGGTCTCTGGTGTAAATTACAGGTGTAAGCCACTGCGCCCAGCCTGAAATTTATGTTTTTATACTGAAGGCCAGAGCTGGGCACAGTGGCTCATGCTTGTAATCCCAGCACTTTGGGAGGCCAAGGCAGGCAGATCACTTGAGGTCAGGAGTCCAGACCAGCTTGGCCAACATGGTGAAACCCTGTCTGTATTAAAAATACAGGCAAAGTTGTCTTTAATAAAAGAAAACTAGTTCAGCTGCATTTTGGGGTCCTTAGTAAAGAACAGTCTAATTTTTTATGCTACAGGAAAAGCCAATGTGGTTTTTCTAAAATATGCAAATCCAAAATCCTGAACCCCTCAGGGAAGGCTAAGTGTGCAATCTTATTAGGGGCTCCAAATTCCTTTCAGTCAGTAGACTGAAACAGCACTTTCTATGTGTACTATGAAACACTGGAAACTAATATGGTGCTAACATTTCAAATTGCAAAAAGTCATCTCGAATAATCTCATATCCAACTTGAAATACAACGCAGAAAAATCTAGTTTAAAAAAAAAATTGTTTCTGAACTTGCTTTCCTCTGGATATATTCCCTTTTCTTTTTTTTTTGAGATGGAGTTTTGCTGTTACCCAGACTGGAGTACAATGGCACAATCTCGGCTCACCACAACCTCCACCTGCTGGGTTCAAGCAATTCTCCTGCCTCAGCCTCCTGAGTAGCTGGGACTACAGGCACGCACCACCATGCCCTGCTAGTTTTTTTTTTTTTTTGTATTTTTAGTAGCGACAGGGTTTCACCTTGTTGACCAGGATGGTCTCGATCTCTTGACCTCATGATCCACCCGCCTCGGCCTCCCAAAGTGCTGGGATTATAGGCGCGAGCCACTGCACCCGGCCTTATATTCCCTTTTCAAGGTGAAATAATAAACAAGCCCTGGAGAGTCCTCTAGAAGTCACAGAAGTTTGGGCTAAAAGTGGAAACGAGTGCCATACATATTACTAGGAAATCAGCACCTTCCTACTGAAAACAACAAAAGGAACTCCCCAAAATTTGGTGTAAATGTGCTTCAAAAAGAATGGCAGCCAGAAATATTTAGGAATATTGAACTGTGCCTCTAATAGGCCAAGAAAAGCTTTTGATTGTGAATATCTGTAATGGTGCTATTGACTGGGCACAGCGGCTCACAGCTGTGATCCCAGCACTTTAGGAGGCCAAGGTGGGCAGATCACCCAAGGTTGGGAGTTTGAGACCAGCCCGGCCAACATGGTGAAACCCGTCTCTACTAAAAACACAAAAATGATCCAGGCATGGTGGCATGTGCCTGTAATCCCAGCTAATCAGGAGGCTGAAGCAAGAGAATCACTTGAACCCAGGAGGTGAAGGTTGCAGTTAAGCCGAGATCACCCCACTGCCCTCCAGCCAGGGAGACAGAACGAGACTCGATCTCAAAAAAAAAAAAGTGTTATTCAGAAACCAGCATTTAATCATTTTATTGGCACTCTTGACTTTACTATACTGGGCTGTGTAGAACTAAGTAATTCTGAGGGCACATCTCTGTCCAACAGTATTAAAACCATTTCCATAACCCTTAGTATAAACATTAGATGTTTTTACATATGCAACTCTCTAAAATGGGAACTTTTTTTTGAGACAGGGTCTTGCTCTGTCACCAGGCTGGAGTGTTGTGGTGTGATCTCAGCTCACTGCAACCTCCACCACCCAGGTTTAAGCGATTCTCCTGCCTCAGCTTCCCAACTAGCTAGGATCACAGGCGCCCACCACTATGCCTGGCTAATTTTTGTGAAGACAGGGTTTCATCATATTGGCCAGGTTGGCCTCGAACTCCTGACCTCAGGTAATCTGCTTGCCTCAGTCTCACAAAGTGCTGGCACTATAGGTCTGAGCCACTGTGCCCAGTCTAAAATGGGAACATCTTAAGAGCTAAAAATCTTTAAAGATAGAGAAGCCTTTAAAACTGCTGAAAAGAAGAAATGCTATTACGGTTAAGGTTCCCAAAGAGACCCAAGCCCAAAGAAATTTTATTGTAAAACGTAATTTTTTTTATTCCTGCATCCATGTGGAATACTGTCTAAAACCTTATTTCAGCCAGGCACAGTGGCACGTGCCTATAGTCCCAGCTATTCGGGAGGCTGAGGCTGGAGGATCTCTTGAGGCCAGGAGTTCTGGGCTGTAGTGCACTATGCCAAAGAGTGTCCGCACTAAGTTTGGCATCAATATGGTGACCTCCCGGGAGCAGGGGATCACCAGATTGCTTAAGGAGGGGTGAACCGGCCCAGGTCAGAAACGGAGCAGGTCAAAACTCCCGTACTGATCAGTAGTGGGATCGTGCCTGTGAACAGCCACTGCAATCCAGCCTGGGCGACATAGCGAGACCCCCATCTCTGTATTTTTTAAATAAATAAATAAAAAAAAATAAAACCTTATTTCAGATTAAACACTTATTCCTGGGCTCTACTTCCTCTGCATCTAAGATAGCTGGCCACATTCCATGTAGTTAAGCATAGTGCCTAATAGTCTTAATATTTGTTGAACAAATGATTTAGCAATGACTCTACATTCTCTGTGAAGTATCCAGAAATAAAGCATTATGAATATTGGCCCACCTTCTTTTGCAGAGGTCATGGTTAACTAGCCCTGGGTACAAAGCAAGCCTGAAGTGTTTAATCTTAGCACAAACTCTCTGAAATCAGAGTTCTAAGAGTCTCACCTCTTGTAACTCCTTATACTCCATATATTTCACAAAATACAACAGACTCAAATAATACTAAATGGTCCTAGAAGTGATGCTCAACAGGATCTCACGTTTATTGAGAAGTGATTAATGGTAAAAAGAAAGGCAATGCCCTTTCCTCATTGGCTGAACAAGAAACTTAAGAAACATTCACTACACGTTTTACAATATTTTTCTCTTCCAAAATGCATTTCTGTAAACAAGTTTTTTACCACTGTTCTTAGCTTTGAAATCAAATTAATCCTGACTTAATCAGTATAATGTACAAGAACAGAACATTTCTTAGGACTCCTAGTACTTTGAGTAACAAAGGGTCAGAGAAAATGAACCACCCTTAAAGACACAACCTTGGGTAACACTGTTAAATTCTCCTAGACAAAAATTCTTCATAAAAATGTTCTTCCAGTTCGGAAGGGTAAAATCAAACTCCCACTTTCTGGGGTGGATGCCCAAAACCTTCACAACTCAAGTGTTCTCCAAGTGCAAATGTCAAAATGGGAGGAGGAAAGGGTTTAAAAATTAGAGAAAACTGTATGCACTTACGGACTTAAAAATCCGAAAAACATAGTAAAAAGACAAAAAAACAAAGCATTATGCTCTGAAATCACAACCAAAGCCAAAATAAAAGGGACATTTTTCACCTAAACTACCTAGAGGGATTTTTTGTTTAGTTTTTTCTTTTTCTTTTTTTTTTCATTTTCCAGTTAAGTCCTATGTCTTTTGTGAAATTCCAATACTTAAACTGCAAGTCTGCAATCGTCTCTGAAGTCAGTGAAATTAAGAAAAAAGTCCTAATTCTCATGAAGGTCATTTTTTCCTCTTAGGATATGCAGATGCAACCGTTGCTGCAGTCTGTGTAGAACTGCCTTTTATTTCCCACGACCTTGACGTTCCTACAGAGGTAAGAAGAAAGTTGAAATGGGTTAGTCAAAAATTAACATGATTGCTTATGAATTTTAAAACTTCGCAGAATAACTCAAGAGAAATTTAATTATTTAGAATTACCAGAAAATTATTTGAAGTAGAACATTCGCCACAAAGAAAAACTGACTTTTACTTTCTTCTGAACCAAAATAGTAACATTCAAACATCCTAATGCAAAATTACTTTTGACTTGAAAATTAATTGCTTGCTTTCCTATTACACTGTTTAAATTAATACTTTGTCGTCAGTCCCCCCAAAAATATGGGCCTAATGGAAGTAACCCAAGCACACATGACTGGTCGGATAAAGGGAAGCAACATACATACATAGAACACTAGAAGACTATTAAGAGTCAGACTGACCTAAATTCAAATCCCAAACTAGTTCCAAAGACTTGGACATACTCATAAGCCTTCAACTTCCTTTTCTGTAAAGTGAAGATAAATATCTCACAAGGTTAAGGAAAATTAATGAGCTGACATATAGAAAGCCCTTAGTCCACATATGGGAAGAAAAAAAAACACCCCACATATCTGGCCTCTTTCCCTAGGGAGACGAATTTCAAAATCTGACAATACTTATGTTTTCCCTGAAATAAATCCCAATGCTTTTTTGTTTTCTTTTCTAAGAAAGAGTTTCACTCTTGTTGCCCAGGCTGGAGTGCATGGCAAGATCTTGGCTCACTGCAAACTCCACCTCCAGGGTTCAAGCAATTCTCCTGCCTCAGCCTCCTGAGTAGCTGGGATTAAAGGTGACTGCCACCATGCCTGGCTAATTTTTGTCTTTTTAGTAGAGATGGGGTTTCACCATGTTGGCCAGGTTGGTCTCGAACTCCTGACCTCAAGCAATCCACCCACCTCGGCCTCCTAAATTGCTAGGATTACAGACGTGAGCCACACTCATTTTCTTAAGAATCACTATTTGAGTCTTTCAGAAATTTATCCTAAATTCTTCCATTTCACACATACCTGTACAGAATTCTTTAATTCTACACTTTCTTTTTTTTTTTTTGAGACGGAGTTTCGCTTGTTACCCAGGCTGGAGTGCAATGGCACGATCTCAGCTCACCGCAACCTCCGCCTCCTGGGTTCAGGCAATTCTCCTGCCTCAGCCTCCTGAGTAGCTGGGATTATAGGCACGCGCCACCATGCCCAGCTAATTTTTTGTATATTTAGTAGAGACGGGGTTTCACCATGTTGACCAGGATGGTCTCAATCTCTTGACCTCGTGATCCACCCGCCTTGGCCTCCCGAAATGGCTTTATTATTCTTTAAGCCAGAAATTTTTGTCTCCTCTCCTTCTGTCCTTCAAGGTACAGTTCAAAATCCCTTCCTTCTTTGAAACATCCATAACCGCTACCACTTTTAATGTCTTTCCCTTAACTCTACATCCACACTCAAACTAAATTCAATCTTGTTTCATGTAATAGTAGTCCCAACTAGATCAAAAAGCAGAAATCAAAGAACAGGTCTTCAACCAACTTTACTCAAAAACTGCTTACAAGTTTAGCAGTAGATAACAGGCTAAGATTGACTTCTACATAAAATTCTGCATATTATCTCTTAATGTAACCCCAGAAATGCAAACAATAAATTATTTGTCCCGAATTGTAACACGGAATTAGAAATGATCTGCTCTAACGGATGTGCTTTTTCCTAAGGAACATGTTTATTATATTTAAGTTAGTCGATGTGCTTACTAGCATTTAGAAGTCAAGAGTATTATTCAGCCCACGCACAAAATTTAAAAAGTAAAATTCAGAACAGCATCATGTAATTATACTTACTACAGCACTGTTTAAATACCAAATCTGTTCCTCTTTATAATGTGCAATTTTAAGTCTCACGAATACCTACGTTCAATATTGCTTCAAAAGTCAAACTTTCTGAATTTTAACTATAAAGCAATACCAAGACAGTCAGGAGTGTTGGCTCACACCTGTGATCCCAACACTTTCGGAGGCCATGGCAGATAGACTGCTTGAATCCAGGAGTTCAAGACCAGCCTGGCCAACATATGGAGACCCTGTCTCTACCAAAAAAAAAAAAAAAAATTTTTTTTTATTAGCCAAGCATGGTGGTGGCATGTGTCTGTGGTCCCAGCTACTTGAGAGGCTGAGGTGAAAGGATGGCTTAAGCCTAGGAGTTCAAGGCTGTAGTGAGTGCTGATCACACCACTGTACTCCAGCCTGGGTGACAAAGTGAGACCCTCATCTTTAAAAAAAAACAAAAAAAAAGGTGGGTACCTGTGGCTCACGCCTGTAATCCCAGCACTTTGGAAGTCCAAAGTGGGCAGATCACAAGGTCAGGAAGGAGATCAAGACCATCCTGGCCAACATGGTGAAACCCCATCTCTACTAAAGTACAAAAACTTAGCTGGGCGTGGAGGTGTGCACCTATAGTCCCAGTTACTCAGAAAGCTGAGGGAGGGGAACTGCTTGAACCCGGGAGACAGAGATTGAAATGAGCTGAGATTGTGCCACTGCACTTCAGCCTGGTGACAGAGCGAGACTCGGTCTCAAAAAAAAAAAAGAGAGAGAGAGAGAGAGAGAGAGAGAGAAAGAAAAGTATAGATTAGAGTGGGACTCTGGGGCACAGTAGAATCCTTCTTGAAGGGCCTTCCTCCCATTGGCCATATCTGTGACTTGAGTATTAAATAATATTAATGATAAGTATGCAACTTCATCAGAGAACACAAACCAAAAAGAAAACAAAAATTAATGATAAGTAAACACCTATTACAGTATACTTGAATCAAGCAAGAATTATCAATCAATGCTAGAATTAAAGGGAGAAAGTTTGGTGAGAAACAAGTTATTTACATAGTGTCAAATTATTTTCCCACATATTAAAAAAAAAAAACATTAAAGTGGAGAACCTGGTGGACAACACCTTACACAAAGTGACCAAAGTTAACACTATCAGTAATGTACCTCCTAGTATGATGCACTAAGGATACAACCTCACTTGAAACCAGTGAAGCCTGACTTAACAGGGCTGGGCACAGTAGCTCACTTCCTGAAATCCCAGCATTTTGGGAAGCAGAAGCTGGCGGACAGCTTGAGCACAGGAGTTCAGGAGTTCAGGACCAGCCTGGGCAACATGGCAAAACCCGTGTCTTACAAATACAAAAAACTTTAAAAACTCAGCTGGGTGTGGTGGCATGCACCTGTAGTCCCAGCAACCTGGGAAATGACTTGAGCCTGAGACAGGAGAGGCAGCAGTGAGCTGTGATCATGTCACTGCACTATGGCCTAGGCAACAGAATGAGACCCTGTCTCAAAACAACAAAACACTTAGGAGACGTAAACCATGGTCTCCAAATGTTCATGGACTAGAACCCAGACCACAAAAAGAAACGCTATCAAGGACATTAAGACAACTGATAAAGTCTGAATAAGATCTGTGTGTAAAAATATTGTGTCAATTATATTTCCTGATTTTGATAAATGCACTGTGGTTATGTAACTGCATGTCTTTGTTCTGGGAACTACACAGCAGAATACCTAAGAGAAAAGACATGATGTCTAGACCTTAACTCTCAATGGCTCAGGAAAACACTGTATATACACATTTTCAAAAACATTCAAATGATAAAGCAAATGTGACAAAATGTGGAAGAGTAAATCTGAAATTATTCCAAGGTCCGGCATGGTAGCTCACATCTGCTGCTCACACTTTGGGAAGCTGAGGCAGGGAAGTGCTTGAGGCCAGGAGTTCAAGACCAGCCTTCAGCAACATAGTGAGATCCTGTCTCTACAAAAAAAAAATTTTAACTTAGCTGGGTGTGGTGGTGCATGCCTGAAATCCTAGCTACTTGGGAGGCTGAGGTGGGAGAAAAGCTTGAACCCAGGAATTGGAGGTTACAGTGAGCTATATGATGCCACCACTATATCCCAGCCTGGCAACCGGGGTAACAGAGAACCTGTCTCTCAAAAAAAATTTCTTTAATGTATTTCAAAACATAAAATAGAGGGGAAGGGAAGAAATGTATTTATTCCTTCCACAAAAAAATTGGGTGCACTAAGTTATGTTTAACATTTAATAAAATTTTAATAGGTCAGGTGCAGTGGCTCATGCCTGTATCTCAGCACTTTATGAAGCCGAGGCAGACAGATCACTTGAGGCCAGCATTCAAAACCTGTCTGGGCAACATGGCAAAACCCAATCTCTACAAAGAAATATAAAAATCAGCCGGTGTGCTGGCACACACCTATAGTCCCAGCTACCGGGGAGGCTGAGTCAGGAAGTTGTAGTGAGCCGAGATTGCACCACTGCACTCCAACCTACATGACAGATGAAGATAAATTTAAATCAGGCACAGAGGGCTTGTACCTTGTTCAGTCCCAGCTACTCAGGATGCTGAACCAAAAGGATCATCGGAGTCCAGGAATTTGAGTCTGTAATGAGCTATGATCACAGCTGTGAATAGCCACTGCACTTCAGCTTGAAAACCTCATCTTAAAAAAAAAAAACAAAAACAGAAGGCCAGGCAAAGTGCTGGGATTACAGGCATGAGCCACCATGCCTGGTCTCTATAAAATATTTCCATACAATGTTTCATGTTCTTGAGATCTGCTGCACAACACTGTTTACAGTTAATACTGTAGGCCCAGTGCAGTGGTTCAGCACTTTGCAGGGCTGAGGCAGACAGATCATGAGGTCAAGAGATTGAGATCATCCTAGCCAACATGGTGAAACCCCATCTCTACTAAGAATACAAAAATTAACCAGGCGTGGTGGCGCACGCCTATCATCCTAGCTATTCAGGAGGCTTAAGGCAGAATGGCTTGAACCTGGGAGGTGGAAGTTGCAGTGAGCCGAGATGGTACCACTGCATTCCAGCCTGTCCTCTTTCCCTAGGGAGATAGATTTCGAAATCTGACAATACTTACGTTTTCCCTAAAATAAACCCCAATGTGTTTTTGTTTTCTTTTCTGAGACGGAGTTTCACTCTTGTTGCCCAGGCT